TTGGGGCCACCGCGGGACCGTTGCCGCTTCCTCTGCCCCGCAGCCTCTCCAGTGCTGCTGGAACAGGCGCCTGGCCCAAGGACGTGGGCATCCTGGCACTGGAGGTGTACTTCCCCGCCCAGTATGTGGAGCAGGAGGAGCTGGAGCGGTACGACGGTGTGGAGGCCGGCAAGTACACGCGGGGCTTGGGCCAGCAGCAGATGGGCTTCTGCGCCGCCCATGAGGACATCAACTCCCTGTGCCTGACGGTGGTGCAGCGGCTGGAAGGTGCGCGGTCGCCCCTCCTGGGGCGCCATCGGCCGCCTGGAGGTGGGCACCGAGACCGTCATCGACAAGTCCAAGGCCGTCAAGACCGTCCTCATGCAGCTCTTCCGTGACTCAGGCAACACTGACGTGGAGGGCATCGACACCACCAACGCCTGCTACGGGGGCACGGCCTCGCTCTTCAATGCGGCTGCCTGGGTGGAGTCCAGTGCCTGGGACGGTGGGTGCAGGCAGGGACCGTGCCATGGGGACAGAGGGGCTGGACGTGGGGTGGGTGCTGTGGGATGGGGGAAAGAGACAGGAGGTGGCCTGAAACCCAAAGATGCTCTGGGAAGTCTTAAAGGGAGCTGCTGTCCCTCCAGGCTCTCCATCACCCCTGTTTCTTGGCCGCCTTGGCTGTGACAATCAGCAGCGTGGGGATGGGAGTACACAAGGGCCACGGGATGGAGGCTTCCACCTGCTGATGTCCCTACCGGCCCAACTGTCCTCCCCCAGGTCGCTACGCCGTGGTGGTGTGTGGGGACATCGCTGTCTATGCCACGGGGAACGCACGGCCCACGGGAGGTGCCGGTGCCATCGCCATGCTGGTGGGACCCAACGCCCCGCTGGTGCTGGAGAGAGGTCGGTGTCGTGAGACCCTGGGGATGGTGAGCTGATGAGTGCTGTCCCTGGGGGCCATACATTCATGTCCCAGCCCTGGACAGAGCTGCTCAGCTCTGGCAGCACCCGCTCTGCCAGCCCCAGTGGCTGTGCAGTGCTGGGCACCCCGGGATGCTGGCCAGCCACATCCCTGTGGGCACCACAGAGCCACCTAGGGAGGCTGGCAGATGTCCAGGCTGGGGTGGGAGGGGGGCAG